AGAGAGAGAGAGAGAGAGAGAGAGAGAGAGAGAGAGAGAGAGAGAGAGAGAGAGAGAGAGGCTGCTCCTCAGAAAACTCTCCAACACTTCACAAAGAGATTTTTTTTCCTTTAATTTGGACAATTCCAGGGAACATGCTAATCTTTTCCCTAATCCTATTAAAGGGAAAAACGCGGTTCTCGCATGACGCCCCCTGCGGGCCCAAGAAAATTCATGGGGGAGGCGGTATCGGAGGGCCGTACCGCGCTCGGGAATGCGTGGCTGTATCGAACATTCGAGGACCTATTCCACCGGCAGTGGAGTTTGCTGGAAATGCGGCAAAGAGTGGGGAGGGGGGGCATCGTGCGGCCACTTTTTTTTCCCCTACGGAGCCGAGGCATAGCCTCGCACCGCGCCCGGGGAAGGCTGTGGAATACTCCCGGGCTGCGCGAAATGGTAAGGGAGGGTCCGGGGGTGGGGGCGATAGGAGTGGCGCGGGTGGGGGCGATAGGAGTGGCGCGGGTGGGGGCGATAGGAGTGGCGCGGGTGGGGGCCGACGTGACCAATGTTCGAATACAGGTACATAGCAGGCAGGAGGGCGAGGACGACGAACATGACCAGGATGAGAGGTGGGAGGATGGGAAGCACGGTGAAGAGGGAGGCAAAGAGGACGCAGCAGGAGTTGCAGGAGGGACGGGAGGAAGAGGGACGGCATAACGAGTAGGGGCAGAAGGATGGGAATGACGAGGAGGGGGAGGACGACGACCACAAATAGGAGGAGAGGGGCGTGGAGGAGGAGGAGCGCCATGGGAGGAGGGACGACATAAGGAGCGGGAGCAGGAGGATGGTGAAGGATGGGGAAAGGGAGGACGATGAACACAAATAGGAGGAGAAGGGCGCGATGAGGAGGGGGAGAGAATGCAGCACATGTGGGAGGAGCGACAGGAGGAGGAGGGACGACGTAGCAACTGGGGGCAGGACAATGGGGAAGGATTAGGAGGGGAGGATGACGGACACGAAGAGGAGGAGAAGCGGGAGGAGGAGGAGGAGGAGCGTGGTGAGGAGGGAGAGGAAGGACGGCATAGGGAGCAGGAGCAGGAGATGAGTAGGGGGAGGACGACAAAAACGAACAGGAGGAGAAGCGGGAGGAGGAAGAACGCGGTGAGGGGGGAGAGGACGCAGGGAGGAGTGGGATGAGGGACTGGAGGAAGAGGAACAACATAACCAACGGGAGCGGGCGGTGGAATCCAGAAGCATTGCAGGAGAACAGAAAATCGGAAAAGAAGAGGAGAACAGAAATTCAGAAAAGAAGAGCTCCATGTCTTTGTTAAACCCAAAGACTGCAACTGGTTAAGTATACATTATTCCGCGAGTGATGAGTTAACCCGGCCGGCGTACCCATATGCCGGAAAAATCCGTGTGACTGTCTGAAAAAAAGAAAAGAAAAGAAGAGCTTCAACTCACCATATCTCTCGTGGAGGACAACCTCGTCGCAGACCCCTCAAACACTTTCTACAGCCAACTACTCGACTCAGCAAGAGAAGAACTCAACGATTGGAGGGAATGGGAACTGAGAGGCCTGCAGATTAGAGCCAGGATGACCGACCATACCCTTAACGGAGCCATGACAAAACCCTTAACGGAGCCATGACAAAGCACTTCTTCGCTAAAATCAAAGCTAATGCCAGAAACAACAACATTGAAGGGTTGAAGAACCCGGACAATCAGAACAGGGTCAACCAATCACATTGGCTCGTCAAGTGGAATTCTACCGCCCGCTCCTCACCTGCTGCTCCACGTCTCAAGTCTTGTGGAATTGCCGCTCCTCGTTACTCGTCCCTTTTCACTGCTTTTGGTCCTTTGTATTGCGCTGCCCTCAGATTGCAATGCAGTTTGTGCTAGCACATAAAAACTTTGCGAAAAAACTGTGAGCTCTGTGGAATAGTTCCTTCTCCTCACAAAATTTGCCCTCCAGCTCGTACTCCAGCCCTCTCAGTCCCTCCAGTTGAGTCGTCTAGCGAGTGCGCCCTGGCCTGTGTTATTATTATTATTATGTTTTCTTTGGTCTTTTGATAACAAGCGGAAACTCAAAATCATGATAATAGTTGGATAACCTATACAGATTGGGACATCCGTTCAAATTGAAATGACACAAAGAAGAGTAGCATGGCCCCTGAAAAAGAAAAAGGTTGTAACATGTCTGACTGCCTGGGCAACCAAAAGACGAAAGCAGTTTAGCTACATTCCTTCCGTAAAAAGTAAATTACCTGGTAGTAACTACAGTGCTTGGTTAGAGATGGAGACTTGGGGGGCAAGAAACCTTCGAAAAGGTGGGTGGTCCCGGTGGAGGCTAGGAAGAGAGGATACCTTGTCTGATTTGACCTGGGGCGGGGCTGTTGGCAGAAGTTAAGAAATCCATCCACCCTACTTGAAATAACTGGTCATGTCTGGGAATCCTTCTCCCAAGTAGTACTTCCTCACATATTCGTTCTGGCACAGGCTCTCTGGGGGCCCAGATGCCATCACATGTCCCTTACAAATTACATACGCCCGATTGCAGATGCGAAGTGTTTCACTTACCTGCAATCAGATAAACAGCCCATTAGAGGAATGCCAACGGCAGCGTCGCAAGTGAGAGAGCAAACAATAAAACAGAGGTGAGTACGTGAGTTCAAACCGTGCTGGGGACATATGGTGTTTGCTCCATCGTTAGTAAGTTACAAACCGTGTTGAACCAACGGGCCTAGCTCAGTTGGTACACCAACGAATTGTTGAAAGACAGACCCAAGGTCAAATCCAGATACAATCAGATGACCAAAAAATAAAATTGTTCTGAATTACCTGGGGGCGGTCAGTTAAATGATGATATCTCAAGGTCAACGCCCTTCCTAAGGAAAGAAAAAAAGAAGAACAAACCGTGTTCAGGGAAGCAATGCTAGGCAGTCTGTTACATGCCCAGTTGGGCGATGTACATATAAACCGAGGATCCGCAATGTGATAAAAAGGACTGAATGGACAATGCAGTGCAAGTAGAATCTCAACAAGCAATGCGCATTCCGATACATACAAAATGGTGCTTGATAGCGCAGGGAAGACTTAGATACAAATCCTGACCTGACCGAGACTGACCTCTTTCACGTAGTACAAGATAGCGAAGCAGAATGCTAGAATACTAAGGACTAGCCCAATCAATGTTTCAACGCAGATTGAACATACATCATTATCATCACTAGGTGTGAAGAGACCTGGCGCTGTACACAGGAGGATGGCACCAGGCCCTGACCATGCACAGACGAAGAGGAGGGGAACAGACGAAGAGGAGGGGGAGAGATGGGAATGTCGTCAACACCAAGTCGTTGTCACAAGTCCCAAATAATCCCTCGTCAAATGTCTGAAGCTCAAAAGTCGAGTCTGGATCCAATGTCACCAAGCTCTCTCTCTCTCTCTCTCTCTCTCTCTCTCTCTCTCTCTCTCTCTCTCTCTCTCTCTCTCTCNNNNCTCTCTCGTAGTCTGCTGATGCAGTGAAGTCAGATATTGAGAGCGTGAGAGGGAGATGGTGGACTGAAAAGAGGAAGACGAAGAACTCTCTCTCTCTCTCGTATGCCAGGTACTAACCTGTGAAGATGGCGCTGTGCTGCAGGTACCTCGAAGACGAAGCTGGAGCAACGGCGCTGCAGGTAAGTATCCCTGGCCTCCGCCCAATCTCTCTCTCTCTAGTACTACTCTAGCTATGGCGCTCAGCGCTGAAGACTACAGCTAACGCTACTAGCGCCCAGCGCTGAAGACTAATGCTAACGCTACTACTACTCCTGCAGCGCTCCTCCAGAGTGCTGCTGCCGAATCCTGAAGACTACTGCCTCCTGCCTGCACGTGAAGTGCCTGGGAAGTACCTAGGAGCTACCTCCCAACTAGCTGTAGCCTGCAGGGCGGGCCAGTCTTATATAGTGCTGGCCCGTCCAGGAGGCTGCTCTTGCCAATGCCAAAACGTGCCAGACCCTGGGGTTGAAGCTCAAACAAAGGTTGTCTTGAAAATAGGCCAAAAATGGCCTGAGATAAAACCCTGGTCTGGTGCCTGAGTTTCAGGGCAGGTCGAACTGATGAGGGCCCGGAAATGGCCCTCAGTTTCAGGCTGAAAACACTCAGGGCCAGAAAGGCCCTGATTCAGCCTGAAACGACACAGGGCCTGTAGGCCCCCGTTTTCAGGCTTTCAGGCTGAAACGACACAGGGCCTGTAGGCCCTTGTTTTCAGGCTTTTAGGCTGAAAACGACACAGGGCCTGTAGGCCCTCGTTTTCAGGCTTTCAGGCTGAAAACGACATGGGCCTGAAAATGGCCCGTGCAGCCTGTTGCAGGCGCAGCATGTAACAGTCCCATGAGAACAGGCACAAAACTTGGAAAGGGAATGAAATCAATTACAAACAAACAAAATCAATAAAAAAAACACAGATCATTCACATCAAATGAATCGATTTGAAGGAAATGATCAATACGAATGACAATAAACCAGATTGGCAGATTGCAGTATTCCACAGAAATCCAGACAACTTAAAGCCAGAACTGAAAGCAGAATGCAAACCGAGATATCAACAAATAAGCACGAGCAAAGCATTGAAGTCACATGGTAATGAAAGCCCCCCTTCTTGCCTCCAATCACCAATGTCAACAACGTAGCTCTCCTACATTGGCGCTCGGCGCCCAGACTACAAAAGACAGCTCCTATCGACCTAGACTCCTAGCTACAACAGGTCTGCAATGAACATCATCAACCTGATGCCGAACAAAGACTTCGAGTGAATGGCCTGCTTCTTCTCCACCAGGTAAGTGCCTCGTCACACCACTCAACCCTGCTTATCCCCACACAGTCCCCTTTGCCTAAGGACCTTTGCTACTCCCCATCCGACAAGGCACCCATGCAGCCCGGCTATGGCTGCTAGGTGCCGCCCTGCTGCTTCACCCAGCAGCTCCCACTCGCTCCACCCACACCCTCTTCCCTCTAGCCTGACTCTTCTCTGCTCGAGCAAACTCGCCTGCAGCGCTGCTCATCCAGCCAGCCAGAATATCCGAAGTGAGGCAGCCTGACTTCTTTTTGTGTTGGCTGCAAAGCTCGTGGCCTGGCTGGACTGGCAGAGCCCGGTCCCAGTATCTGCGCACCTTCCAGAATCTGCCAGGGACCTAACTGCCTGAGTCCTGGTCCTCAGCATCTGAGATCTGGACCTCAGCATCTTGAACCGACGGTGGGTGCCCTACCGGTTGGTTGGATGCCGCATACCTCAACCAACACACGGGGCCATACAGTCCTATAAATTCCTGTAACTTGCTTACAGTCCTATAGATCATGGCGTGCGGCCTGAAGTACAAGGAAAATGAGCAAGAGCAAAATGGCGGAATTCCAAATTTTGCAACATCACATTGAAAGCCAGATAGTCGTAAGCTGTCCAGAAAGCAGAAATGCACGAATATCACACCGAAGGAGACAAAAGCAACGACACTCAATTGTCAATGTCATCCCTCTCTCGCCACCATCAACAATTTACTCCATGTCTCTTTCCCCTATCGGCGCTCAGCGCCCAGACTACGATCACACAGATCCTATGCTAGCCTACACTGATGACGAAACAACCGGATGACGTCAGAAGCAGAAAGGAGTATACGTGCAGATGTCGCCCATGCCGACCTCTACGACGAACAATGTACATCCCTTTCACACACATGTTCGCCCTTGACTCATCCCCTCCCGACACTGTCCACTTCAATTACGAAGACCACCACCACCTCCACTGGCTGACATGAGCCTGAGCCTGGCTACGGAGGCTCATCTCTGGTGCAGCCTCCTGGCAGCGCCCCTTCCCTCCTGCACCTGTGAGCGCACCACCTCCAGCACGAGCACCAGCGCCTGCATGAGCTCACAGAGGCAGCTCTCTTGCAGCATGTGCCAGTGTCGGAATGCCCTCGTAGTGGCCTAGCAGTTTCCTTTCCGGAAAGTGCCTTGGCAGTCCAGCGCCCAGGTCTGAGTGTGTCAGGCCCCGGAAGCTTTCGGTATCCCCCAGGTGGCTGCGGCCCAGGCCCGTTACTGGAAGTGCCCTGGGCCAGATGCAGTTGCACCTTGCAACTGCACAGCGTCGCTTGATGTGGTGCTGGCCTTCTCATTGGTCGCTCACTGGGTTGTGACATGCCGGTGGCCCGATCAGGATGCAGCTCATGGCCACACAGGCGCTTAGTAACCGTCTGGGCCCCGTAACCGACTGGCACCCACTTAGAGGCTGGGCCCTGCATTTGGCCTAAATCAGGCCTCCGAAAACTGTGTAGGCCCGCCTTCACTTAGGGCGGGCTCTAGGGCTGTTGTCAGGGTCCTACAAGCTGCTGCTCGCAAGTAAGGCCAAGGCCGAAATTTGCAGACCCGCCTTCACTTAGGGTGGACAGGGCCTCTTTTTTCCAGGATGCTGAGGGGCTTACTCCTCGCAGATTAATCCAATCAGTCAATAAATTGATCCATCCATCCATCCGTCCGTCAGTCATGCCAGTCATGTCATCAGATCAGGATCTGTGAATAAGCAGCTCATCGAGAAGACATACCAACTGCTCTACAAACAGAGGAAACGTGGAATAGACGGTGTCATACGAATTGAGGGTAGAAACTACTAGAAACTACTAGAAACTACTAGAAACTACTAGAAACTCATAGAAACTTCTAGGAAGTTAATAGCAGGGTCAATTACTGGTGAGCGATCGGGACACTGGGCGAAGAACAGAATGGATGGGAGGAGAAGGAGGGAACGGAATCGGAGGAATGAATGGCGGAAACCGGAGCTAAGGAGGAAAGGGTAGTTTTGGCAGCAACAGTAGGGGGAATGATGATTTGTGAGAAGGTTGGCAACCTGAGGGAATGTGGAGCCATGGAGGGCACTCACATTATGGTCGGTTATGAGGATACCCATATCCTGCTCCATCTGTAATCTGGTCAGCAGCTTCTGAATTTCTTGAACGCCAATAGGATCAACCTGATGATGAATAATGGACACGACGTGTGTGTGTTAGAGATTTTCACCACAACAGCCCCTGTTCCACCCAGATGAGTAGATCCAATATCGATGCAGCTTTACCTCTATTGCAGACAATAAAGCACACTTGAGATTAGTCATTCCAACGATGAAACAGCTTTACCTCCATAGCAGGCAACATGGAGCAGAATAGATCCATTAGAATTTAGATCCCTTTCTTGACTATCTTTACTTTGGCTTTCTTTGGGGTAGCGCTTTTATTTGTTCGTACAGCTCCCTTTTTACTGTGGTTCTCACATACAAGGCTGGGCACGTTGACTGTGGTTCAGCGCCAGCTGCTCACATCCCCATCTGCCTTAATGGCCCACTTGCACGTTATGAAAGGAGGCAGAGTAAAGGGGGAAGTATACTCCTGTTCATTTTTCCTCCGATCTTCAGCTTATATGTTCTATTCTCTTAATGATGCTCATTCGTATGCATTGACTACCTTCTTCCCCCGAATGTAACGCATATGCGTTGTATCCGAGTTTTCCAAAAAAAAACGGTCTTTTGAAAGTTAGTACCTTTTTCCAAATAGAAGGGCACTTCGAATATTCAAATAAAAAGCATGTGCGTTCTCATCGGATTTCCAAAAAGAAAAATGTGTTATTCGAATAGAACCCTCTTTTTTTTCCCGAGGTCAGCACCTTCTCTCTCTCTCTCTCTCTCTCTCTCTCTCTCTCTCTCTCTGTGTGTGTGTGTGTGTGTGTGTGTGTGTGTATGTGCGTGCTTCGCTGTCTCCACCTGTCTGACAAAGCACGGGCAAGAAAGTAGCAGCGGGGGCAGCGGGAAGTCAGGAGGGACACACCTCACTCCGCCAGGGCATTGTATCTTTCCATGTTCTAGCGGAACATTCGTTCTCATTTTGCACATTTGGTGAAGAGTGGAGGGAGACCCCAAGTGGGAAAAGGAGGATGAATCTTCGGCCAGAACATGGGAAGACACGACACCACGTTTATCTCTTTCTGGGGCCCTCCGCCACGGGCCAGAACTGAGCCTACTCAGCCTGGACCCGGCCCCCTTCTGTCCAAAAAGTTGCTGCAGTCCACCCGAATACAACACATATGTGAATTAGTCCTTTTGACATTTTTGCACGGTTCTTTCTACACATTTTGTCTCCGTGAGACATGAGATGTGGTCGTCATTAAATTACACAAAGACAACAACAAAAACGAAGGCAAAAAACACTGCCATGAACAATCTGGTTGTTTACGAAATTCCAGTGGGGAAGGAGTGGGGAGACAACAGCAAGAAGTTGTCATGATGTGTTTTGCGACGAGTGGAGCTTGTTTATGAAATTTCAGTGGCCTTTTTGGGTCAAAGCTCTGAAGTTGGCCGATCTTTAAAGTTACTTCAAAGATTCATTGTTTGTGTGGACAATAAGATGAGTATGGAGAAGTTGAGGAGGAGAAGGAGAGGTGAGATTGAGCATTAACATTGTGTTCACACTCCCTGACTCTTCTCTTTTGCTTTGTCTCTCTTTCTTTGTTTGCACTGTGCCATTCCTCTGTCTTTCTTCATTTTCTCTCGATTTGCTTTTCCTAATGTGCCAATGCTGAGGGGTGTCTTTACTTGTTTGGAGACAAGCACCATCGCTGGCAGCAGCACAACCACAACCATCACCAAGAAACGACAACAACAATGGCAATAAACAAGAACAACAACAACAACAACATGATCATTCCTCACTTCAATTTCCCTGAGGGGCCGTGAGGGCAGTATAAACAGAGTGCCAGCTGCAGGCTGAAGCAAGGAGGAAGAAAGGAAGCCAAGTGTTGACAACCTGGCTACAAATCTCATAATGCAGGGGGTATTCCTTAGTTGACGAGAGGAGAAAGCAAGCTGGAGAAAATTGTTTTTGTTGTTAGTAGATGTTACCATCACATTGCCATTGTTAGTGGCTGTCATCTTTGTTGTTCACAGTCTGCCCGTTGTTGTTTTGTTGTTCTTGTTGTTGTTCTTGTTGTTGTTCTTGTTGTTGTTTGGTGGTCCTGGAAAGTCGGTGAAAGTCTGACAAAAGTCTGGCACAGTCGTGGTTTTCTTGTGGAGCAGTATATAGCGAACATGACAACACACACACACACACACACACACAGAGAGAGAGAGAGAGTCCGTCAATTTTAAGACGAAAGAGTGGAGGTGGGAGGGGAATCGATTGCTCACCCCAGCAAACGGCTCATCTGCGAGAATGATTTTTGGCGGCCCCCCCGAGCAGTTTGATGCCAGTACACGTGCCAGTTCCTGGGGAATCACATTAATCCAGTCTTTGCACCATTGTTATTCGCCCATTGACATTCTGAACAAGAGAACAAAAAGAAGAACAGAAAGGCCCAATCGTTGTGCAAGAAGGTAAAGCAGAGGTACCCCACAAGGAAACTTGCGAATCACACTGGCAGAAGCCGCAGAACTATTTTTTCTTGCCTGTTCTTTTTGCAATCAGACTCGCTCTCAGTCACATTTTTCATGCATGTAAACAGTAGCACAGCAAACTGGCGACATGCGCCCACTCAAAACTCAGAGATATGGAAACCCAGATATGAGTTCACTTTCAATGACTATGGCGACTCGGCGCCCAAACAACTCACTGTTCACATACACCGGATCACCCTGGATATCCCACATGCTTCTCTCTGAACACTCACACACACACACACACTGAACACTAAACTACAGCTATGGCAGCTGTGGCTGCCTCTACCCTATCGCTATGCTACGCTCCTTCTCTCTCGCCCACTTCAGCTCCGGGCTCACTGCAGACCTTCTTGCACAAGTCGCTGTGGCAGCGCTTCCGCATGACTCACGCAGGAATGAACGAATGGCTGGGCGCTGCCTCTTGATTTATACTTCTGAAACTCGTTGGTCTGCCCTCTTCCATCGGCCCATGGTGCTCACAGTCCCTCGTGGTACTTGCTGGACCGAACTGGGACTGACTGGACCTTACCGCTGACTGAGTGGGGACTCACTGCTAACCTACCACCGTCGTACTGCAATTGCACTGCAGTTTAGTCCACCACTTGCCCACTTGCCCACTTGCTGACCTTCTAGAAGGCTACAGCTAGGACTTCTAGACTTCGCTAAGACTTCTATTCGACAGACCTACAGATCGAACCCCCACAGCCTACGACAGCCTATCAACTGTTACAGATACACAGGTCGTGGGTTCAAGTCTTGCGTTCGACACAGATACTGTACATCGGTAGGGTAAGGGCTAGAGATCGAGCCCTGGGGTCTGCATCTGCTACTGTAAAAAGGTGAAAACCGTTTCACTTCCGCCGTCCTAAATTCGAGGTCCTCCGAGAATATTTCACTCCAAGGCAGGACCTTTACCCTTCTTATCACGTCGTAAGCTCTGACTATGTCCGGAGCTGTTTCTAGAAGTTCTGTCCTAGTAAACCAGCGTTGTCCTCGGGTTCCTGATAGGCAAACCAGACCTTATACTGTTTCTGTGGACGACCTCTACCTCCTGCCTCCTTAACTCTCTTGAGGAGGTCACTATAGCTCCAAAGTAGTCTGATCTCCTACTCAGAGCATCCGCAACTACATTGTACTTGCCTTTGACTGGTTTGAGCTCAAAGTCATACTGGTCTATCTCAGCAGTCCACCTAGTCAACTTAGGTGTCATTTTGGCCTGGGTCTTTAACCATCTAAGCGTTTCATGGTCAGAATATACTTTGAAGTGCCTCCCAAGTAGATAATGCTTCCAGTGCTCTAAAGCCTGCCTGAGAGCGTAGAGTTCTCTCTCGTACGTCGAGGTGGCTACCTTCTCTGAGGACATCCTCGCTGACATGAACTCTACGGGTCTATAGCCATTGCCGTCGTCTTGCTGCAACACGGCGCCTATACCATACTGACTCGCGTCCGTGGTGACGACAAATGGCAAAGACGGATCAGCTACTTTGAGGACAGGGTACTCTTTTAACGCGCGCTTCAGTTTCTTTAGCGCAGACGTACAATCTTTGTCCCATTGCCAGATTGCTTCTTTCTTCAGCAACCTGCGCAGGGGAGCGGCGATAGTGGAGAAGTTCCTCACGAACTTCCTATAGTAGTTAGCTAGGCCTAGGAACGACCGCAACTCAGTCAACGTGCGGGGCGTCGGCCAGTCTCTAATTGCCGCTATCTTGCTGTCCTCTGGCTTAATGCCATCTCCGTCTAATACGTGGCCCAAGTATAAAACTTGTGTCTTGGCCCACTCGCACTTCTTCGGGTTGATCTTGAAGTTAGCCTCTCTAAGCTTCTCCAAGACCTGCCTCAAATGACCCTAATGCTCTTGGAGGGTCCTGCTGAAAACTAAAATATCATCTAGGTAAACTACTACAAACTTGTCTAACCAAGGTCTAAAAAGGTCATTCATACAACGCTGAAAAGTAGCTGGCGCGTTGGTTAGTCCAAAGGGCATCACTATAAACTCGTAATGCCCGTATCTAGTCCGGAACTCAGTCTTGTACTAGTCATCAGGATGGACCTCTATCTGATGATATCCGGACTTCAAGTCTATCTTAGAGAAATACTTACAACCCTGCACCCGATCTAGAAGATCGTCTATCCTGGGCAGCGGTTCAACATTCTTCACAGTAATCGCATTCAAACCCCTATAGTCTATACACATACGAAGCTCTCCTTCCTTCTTGGGGACAAACAGGACTGGTGCTCCAAAAGGAGACGAACTGGGCCTGATCCAACCTTTCTCGAGGAGCTTGTCTAATTGCTTGCGTAGCTCCTCTAGGTCTCTAGGGGACATCCTGTAGACTGCTCCCTTAGGAGTCCTACTGCCAGGCTCTATCTCTATCCTGTGCTGGATGGGTCGCGGCACTACTCCTGTCGGCGACTCAGTCAAATCTTTGAATTCCTCCAGCAGCTTGGTAATGGTTGGGTTTGTGGAACTATCTCCTTCCTTAGCCTAAGTGACGGGCCTCACATACACTACGAAGACCTGATCCTCTAACTGCTCCTTTTTCACTAGTCGAGCGAACGCGGGACCACTGAGACAGCAATGTGCCAAGGTGTTATCTACACCTGACACATGAAACAGGCGGGCAGTCTTAACCTCGCCTGATGGACTAGGGAGCCTACACTCATGCTCTCTTAAGTGGAGTGTGGCCCCTGCTGCCTCTCCCCAATCCATTCCTAACACTACATCGAAAGGAAGGTCATCCTGAACGAGGAGAGTCAGAGAATGGAGAACTTTCTCCACCTTCCCATCTTTCTCTAGGCGAAAGTACGCCTGGACTCCCTCTACGTAGTCCTCAACTCACATTGTCCAGTTGTCTGCGAGGACACTGACTATGGGGTCTGCTAACTTTTGGACTTTTAATCCTAGCCTCAACTTCTTCAGCGCCTTACGGCTAATGTAACTGCGGTGGCCCCTGAGTCTATAAGGGCCCCTACTCTGCTTCTAAACACTTCTACATCTACCAAGATCAGTTGTCCCTTACTCTCCTTCTTCATTTTGCCCCAGGCTGGCATCCTCTCCTTCAATTCTTCTGCCACACCTGTGAGGAACGTGCCTAGAGAGACGCTGACACAAGCAGTCTTTGGACAGCTAGCTAGGCACGGGCTTGCAACCTCTGCCATAGGGTCATGTGGTTTGGGAGTTTCCTGTTCGCGCGCGCTCGCTTCCCCACATGGCCTTGAAGAAGGGGCAGTTGCGACCCCTACTGGCGGCTGCCTTTTGACTGCTGAGCAGCCCATCGGGCCTGTCCGTACTGAGGACAAAATTTAATTACGTGGGCCGGGTCACCACAAAACACGCACTGACCCAAGTTCACGCGTTCCTGCGATACGCGCTGGTCCAAGCCCAAGTCTTCCCAGGGCCTGCCCTGTGGCAAGCCTGGGTGCCACCCTCCTTGAGGTGGCCTTCCACCTCGTCGCTGTGGGGACCGACAAGAACCTTGGCGATTTGGCGGGGACCTTGACCCCTACCTCCCACTTGGCGGTTCCCTTGTCCGCCAACCCCCTGTGCGCCCGGTCCTCGGCCTCCCATGGCCTGGCCCCTTTGGCCCTGGCCTCCTCCTCTACCTTGCAGCCTCCCTCCAGCAGCGACAGCCGCATAAGACCTCCCCTGCCCTACGCTGCTGTCATCCTCCTCTAACCCCCACTCAATCTCACTGTAGGGGATCTCATCTGTACCACCCTCTTCTAACGTGAGGACCATATGATCCTTGACCCTCACTTGGCCAGAGATGGTACGGCCCTTCCACTTCTTTCCTTTGTCCAAGTCCTTGTGCCAGAAAGTGGACACTGGCATGGACTTCGACTCATACAGGACCACCTCTCTACTCAGCACATCATAGGTGATGTCGGCCTGTTGAGACTTCTCAAAGAAATGCCCACGCAGGGGGCCGGGCATGGCACGATAAAACAATTGGACCAACTGGGGCTCAGTGACCCCGTGTTCTGAGACGGCTACCAAGTCGTCCATAACGCCCTTGAGTGCTCTTGCAATCCTCCACTGTCGCGAATGGATCGTCTGTAACTTATCAGAGGCTTTAACGCCTCTCGTTGGGTCAACAAATCTTCTCTCAGGACTTTGAAGAATTGAGGAAGGGTGGTAATCTTAGAATATGCAACCATGTTGTTTTCACAACTGGCTGCGCACGCAAGAGATCTGGCAAAACTGGCCGCTTCATCTTTAAGGGCCTGGAAGGCGACGAGGACTTTCTCCTCAGTCAGGATGTGCTGTAGGTACACGTAGCTATTGACGCTTGCCTCCCAGTTATCAAAATTCTCCTCCTTCTTTCCCCCGTATGCATCTGGGAATTTAAGCTTGACAGGCTCTTTACGGGGCCTGGCTTCACCCTCTACAACGGCTATTGCTTTGGCGCCCTCGATGGCGCCCTCGCAGAACTTCCCCATGTTGTCTCTCAGCCGCCTAAGTTCGCCTCCAACGTGGGTGACCATATCGCGCACAAAGTCTCTAAATCCTGACCGCATGGCACTCAGGGCCACATCCTGACCCCTATTGGCTTGGCGCTCCTCCAACCAGGCCGCACTCAACACTTCCAGATAACCCAGCACCTTCTCCATCTTGGCAGACATGTCTGTCTGCGCCTGCACTTCCTGTCTACAATCTCTCATTTTTGCCACCTCCTCGGCCAGCCTATTAACTTCGTCCCTCCTCATCTTCTTCTCCCTCTTCATCCTCAGTTTCCACTCCAACTTCTTCTCTTCTTCTCTTTCTCGCAGTTCCAGAGGGTCCTCCATAGTCACTAACTCACTGGCTAACGCATCTCTCTCATCCTGAG